CATGAGATGTAGCATTTGGAAATGTGTTGCACAAAGAAGCAGCAGCTTATTTGATATATATCTGTCCATGTATTCCATTGCAAATCGAAGGTCATAGCTGATAATACAGTAGCTTTTCATGGTTTATTAAAATTTCATGTCATTAGGTCCATTAGTGCTTTATCAAAGGGTCACAGGCAAAGGGTCATTGGATTGCAGGTTTCACACCGCCAGTAGAGGGCACATTTTCTTCAATAATCTACATGTATATATACATTATCTTTCCATTCATGCCCTCTGTGATACCTCTTAATTATAACTATAATCTTATTTTCTATATAATTATAATCATGTTTACCCCAAAATATCCACATCAACTCCTCCAAATAGTGACCTTCTTTTAGGAGGGCAGGAGAGAAAAAGGAATGAATGATTTAACCACATACTGAGCGATCAACACCAATAGCAAAGCTCCTGCTGGCTCTCACTTTTCAAAGAGCAGAGTTTTTGTTGAATGATTGAGCCGTGATGGAGAGTAAGGAGGGAGGGATTTGCCAGGCTGAGTCGTGCAGTGACATCAGCTTTGAAAAATGTGCATGTGAGCAAAGTGTGTATGTGTGAAATCCGTCTGATGCAAACTGAGGGACCACTCACTCTGCTGCTTTTCACTGAAAGCCGGGAAAAGAAGAGAAGTAACTAAAAAAAGAAAAAAAAGAAATATTATTTTTTAAATCTAAAATAGTAAATGCAGGAATGTTTGGTACTGGCTGCTGAGTTGCCAAAAGTATCATGTTTTAGGTTTTCCCTTTTGTCAAGGGAAAATATTAAAAGGCAATTGTGTGCCCCTTAATCCCTCTGATTTAATGCAGGGAAGCAAATATATCTAAATCTGTAATATAAAATAATATTGTAAAAATCTTTAAGTTGGAGTGCACTCAGAATGTTTGAGGAACTGTCCAAAAGGCAAATATTGATAAATATATTGATAAAACATATTGATAAAAAAAACATATAAACATATAAAATAAATAAACATATATATATATATATATATATATATATATATAT